ACCCCAGTAGTACAGCTTTTCCCTTCATATTTCGGGGGGACTCCTTGTTAAGATGAAAATTAGATCCGAATTCCGGAAGCCCTAAACTTGAAACCCCAAACCCTAATATAGGGGCCTAAAGAGTTACCGATACTATGGTTCCATATGCCTTATATAGATATAGTATAGGGTACCTCAAATGGACCATCCCAGAGGAGACATGGGACGATGGACGATTACGACACCACAGACTTGTGGGACCTGGATTGCGAGCTGTTGGCCCTTTACGAAGCCAGGGTCAACAGGGAGGATGGCTTCAATGACAGGAATTTCGATACCTTCGGTGCTTCGCTGGGACCTCCTGCGGTGACGCGACTGAGCCTTGTGCGCTGGTGTTGCCTTTGCCTGCTTGCATCACCCATCCCCATTGCCTAGCTGACCTTAAGCCAGCCCCCCTCTCGCAAGTCAAAATCAAGATCCGTGGCATTGCTTCTCTTGGTGTGGGAAACGGCTCTGGTTTGTTCAGTCGAGAATTTTCCTGTCAAGGAGGGTTTTCTTGGAGTGGCTCGGGGCTTAGGGTTTAGGGGTTTAGGGTTTAGGGTTTTAGGGATTTAGGGTTTAGGGTTTAGGGTTTGAGTTTAGGGTTTTAGGGATTTAGGGTTTAGGGACTAGGGATTAGGGGTTTAGGATTTAGGGTTTAGAGTTGGGGGTTCAGGGTTTAGGGGATACCTGAGCCCCAAAATGGGACAGCAATAGCCCAACATCTCTAAGAACAGTCTCAGGGGCCATTTTTGTTTTCATACTTTTGGGGGTCAGGTACTCCTTAATTCAAAGGGGTTTTATGAAGTGTTATAGGCTGTTTATGAGGACATGATAGGGCTTTGTTTGCTTAAGGATACCTAGGGCTTATAGGGCTTTTGTTACCCCAATTTGGGGGGTAATTCCGAGTTTTGAGCAGTTTGGGGTCCAGCGACTTTGCAGGATTTTCCGTACCCCAGTAGTACCCTTTTTCCCCTCTTTATTTAGGGTTTAGGGTTCAGTGTACCCCAGCAGTACAGCTTTTCCCTTCATATTTTGGGTGGTCTCCTTATTAAAGCGAAAATTAGGAAAAAAACGGTACCCATATCATGTAGGGGGTATTGGGTTACTGGGAACCTAGTCTAAAAGGCCTGCATGTTCGCCTGGGCTGAGTACTGGCCCCACAGGCTGCGCCATGTAACGCTGATGGGTTCCTCTTGTCCACCTTGGCAAAATCTCATGTCTCTCGGGTTTCATTCAAGGACTCCCAGGTCAGGCGTGGATGTTTTGAGGGCCCCAAACATCAGGATACTACTGCTCAGCCGTATGCATGACGGAATGCCACCTTAGAGAAAGGCCAAGAAAGACCTATTTCATAGCCCTGGTCCTGCAGTTGCTCTAGATTCCGGAACTTGATTTCTCAGACTAGACCCTACACTCTCGGAAACTAACATGGAAACAGAAAAAGGGCCCTATAAAGACTACAGTCCTTCTAAAAGGGGGCCATATCAGTTTCCATGTTAGTTTGGGGAAGTGTAAACCCTAAACCCTAAACTGCATGGCTACATCCCCCAGGAACGGTTTCAGCCAAAGCTCCAAGACCTCAAATCCGAATTCCTGAAGCCCTAAACTTGAAACCCTTAACCCTACCCAAACCTTCAAGGGGTTTAGGATTTAGGATCAACAGCTTTTAGCCCCCAAATAATGGGTATATAGTACATGGGTTGTCATTATCGGTCTTTGGGAGGCGCAGGTAGCACCTGATCCCTAAAGCCATAAACCTTAAACTCAAAGCCCTACACCCTAAAAACCGTAAACCCTAAACTCAAAGCCCTACACCCTACAAACCCTAAACCCAAAACTCAAATCCATACACCCAAAATCTCTAAACCCAAAACCCAAGGCCCTATACTACACCCTAAGAACCCCTAAACCCTAAGCTCGATCATGCCTTTCCATTGCGTACTGCCCCCACCCAGTAACAGTCTATATTAGCGGTCCTATTCAGGGCTATATACTACCCATATTATAGTTATTATCCAACTGTTACTGAGTGAGTGGGGGCAGTATCCAACCTAAACCTGTAATCCTTGATATGGGGAACCCCAAAAAGGTATCTCTACACATCCTAAACCCTAAACCCAAAACCCTAAACCCTAAACCCGAAACCCTAAATAATCCCTATATAATCCCCATATATCCCCTATAAATATCCAACCTTTCCATCTTTGCCCCTTTGCATCGTGGACAAATGCAGGAGATGGACTTCGGGGTTGCCAGGCACAGGGCAATCATTAGGGTTTAGGGTTTAGGGTTTAGGGTTTAGGGTTTAGGGTTTAGGGTGATTAGGGTTTACCTGGACCCCAAAAGTATGTAAAATAATGGCCTTTATGGCTATTATTGAAGGTTTAGGCCCATTATTTTACATACTTTTGGGGTTTAGGTAGGGGTTTGGGGCTTAGGGTTTGGGGTTTAGGGCTTAGGGTTCAGGGGTTTAGGGTTTGAGGTTTAGGGTTTGGGGCTTAGGGTGCTGGGGTTGGGGTTTCAGGTTGGGGCTTAGGGGTTTAGGGTTTGGGGCTTAGGGTTCAGAGGTTGGGGTTTAGTGTTTGGGGTTATTGGTTCTACCTGGAGCTTCAGAGATTGTAAAAGAAGGGCCATTTGCACTATTTTCAGTGGTCTTTGGATTTTTTGGGGTTTCAGCTTTGAGGTCCACGCTAGATCCGTTGTATGGCGAGGTACCCCAGTAGTACCCTTTTGCCCTTTTTATTTGGGGGTCTCCTGATTAAAGCTGAATATTCGGAAAAAGGGTACCCTAATTACTAAAGGGTTACTGGGGAACC